AGTTTCTCCATGGAGGATTAAGGATATGGGAGTGGAAAGAGTTCTGATTCTCTTTTTTCTTCACAATGTTTTGAGGTAAAATACATTGCAAATTACTGGTATTGTTCTAGTAATTTGGAGAAACTAGAACAATAAAATACACTTGCAAATGAAATCTAATATTGATATTTTGCAAACGAAAAGCATTTTTTGGTGTGGTGTGGTGTGGTGTGTGTGTGAGAGAGAGATGCCATTTGTTTTTAGCATGGTATCCAAAGCTTATCCATCTCCCCTAGTATCTCAATTTGAGAGAAATTGGAAAAATAACTTTTAATAATCACCCAAGTTTCTCAAATCTTCAAGATTCAGCATTTAATATGAAACAAAATGAGAGGGAGGGAGATTGAAAAATAGGTTTTAATAATTACCCAAGTTTCTCAAATGTTAAAGATTGATTTGAGCATGGTGTGAAACGAACCCATCTCTCCATTAGAAAGCCACAAGTTGTCACTTCTCGTTATCCAAAGAAGGACTTTTTCTGTATTCTTTTTTGTTACTGTCCATTCATACCCACGTAAGCCACCAACTTTTGAAAGATGCCACCAACTTATTCCACATAACATTGAAAATTATCAATATGGTGGTCGGACACCTTCTACAAATAAACTAGGTGGTCAACTAAAGTCATTTATAAATAACATGGCGACATTTTACAAACTATTTCATTAAGGTACCTCTTGAATTTAGTGGTACCTTATTCCACCAACTTATTCCACATAACATTGAAAATTATCAGTATGGTGGTCTAACACCCTCTACAAATAAACTAAGTGGTCAATTAAAGTCATTTATAAATAAAATGGCGACCTTCTACGAACTTTTTCATTAAGGTACCTTTTGAATTTAGGGTTGGAAACCCATCCGGACCTGGACCGAAAAAATGATATGGGACTCGAACCTGGATCCGACCATACCCAAAATCACTAAACCCAAACTCGGACCCAAAAATATATTGTGGGAATGGACCCAGACCTGGACCCGAATAGTGTTCGGACCCAAGATTTGGACCCGAACCCGACCCGTTGGGTCCAATTTTTGGACCCATACCTGGATCCAATCAAGTCTTCCCCCTCGGATCTTGGGTCAGGTTCGGGTCCATTGCCACCCCTACTCCAAAACCATTTTATTCGAGTTTGTTTGGATGCTGTCGTTATCATTATAATTCACTATTTCAATAAAATTAATCTTGATGATGAGTTATCCATCATTTAGCAGCTTGGTCGTGAAATTATCTTTGATGGACCTTTAGGCAGTTTTATGTATAAATTTAAGTTTTTGGAAATTTATTTTTATTCAAAAGAATTCACAAAAATTATATTTTTTGGCGAGAACTAACTAAAGATAGCTAAAAGCCTAAAACCATGGAAAAGTTAAGTAATTGAATAACAAGCCACGGTATTTACAGGACTCCATCTTTTGGTCGTGCGACTTAATGGGAATAAGGTTTCAAACCTTGAGCAATATTTTTTAACTGTATTTCACAATGTGGATTGGTGGGGCAGATAGATCACCTGCAAATTTATGCCAGATCATTGAATCGGCAATCCGAATTGGGTTGGGTTCGGTCCGAATAAGTGATATATAAAAGAATAACTGAAATAAAATGAATTAAAATAGAAATTTATGGGGCAAGGGCTTGAGGGTACCTAAAAAGGCATTAGATAAGCATTCTTTTAATAATAATAATAAAAAAGAAATATGTAAAGCATTTTTGAGGCAAAATTAGACGAGACCTATACCATCCATAACCAGTTTAGTACCGATCAATTCCCATCTAGATAGACAAATCCGGATTGAAAATTACTAGGTTTTAAAATATTGTCTTTTTAATAAAAAGCAATTTCTAAGTTTTGGACTCAAGGATAGAACAAGTAAGGATATTTAAATCAATAGGCTCAAGTGACTAAAATAGATCAAATTATCAAAATGACCTAAATCTTGTTCTACTAAATAAACTTGGAGCAATGATTAGGATCATAAACATATAACACAAGCAATTTGAGCATTTTTTTTGACTAAATTCTAGAGGAGGTGTCCAAATGAAATGAATTGTTAAGGGGAATCATTGTGTCGATAAAATTATCGATTTAACCACCTCGTTGATTTTTTTTGAATGGTTTTACTTCTTTTTTTTTTGGATATTTTCCCATAAAATTACCAAAAATGAAATTTCATGAAAGTGAATTTCATATTTTCTTAATTATTTTTCTTTTTATTTTCTTCATTTTTTAAATATTTTATATGGCCATTTTTGGTGATCGTTGGTGGCACATCTCACTAGGGAAGTGGGAATTGGACAAAAGACCGAAAGTTCACATCCAATGGTGACAAGGATAAGGTGCTTAAAGTCCAAAAGAAACACACAATTAATAATATTTTGAATATTATATACTTCAGTTGGAATAAAATCCTGGTTTTATAATAAAAATTGTATGTTCATTGTTAATAAGAGGGAGGCTCCCAAATGAGTTTGTCTTTTTCCAACAAATTACATCACACATTTACCTCTTTTTCATCTAGGGGTAACACTTCTTGTGGAAATAACAAATTGCCCTTCAAGAATCTAAATTAATGGAAAATTAATATCCTTGGGAGTTTATATGTAGTTATTGTACACCACTCAATTTACACATATATTTTGAATTAAAATTCATTGTGCCAAGCCTTCTTGTTGCTTTGGATCATTTCTCATTATGTTTTCCAAATTTGTGTACAATATTTTTGGATAATTATTGGTCTCTTCCATTTAGTGACAAACAATTCTCCCATCAAGGAAATTAGTCATGAAACTGAGATATTATCATGGCAAAACAGTCCTGAATTAATTTATTATAACACTTGATCCTACAAGACTTCAGTTTTAGCAGAGTGGGAAAGCCTGGCTAGTTCGACTCGGACTCGCCCAAGTTAATCAGACTCAGCAAAGTCCTAATCCAAAATTAGACTTACGGAATGAGCCGAGCCTGGCAGGTTATCAACATTTTACTATTATTTTTTTGTTTGGGCTTGGCCCAACTCTGACTCGGAAGGCAAACGATTCGTGACGAGAATCCTCGTTTTACTGCACTGGAAGTTTTAGCATCACTTCATTATATTGGGATTAAATGGAATCGGTTATCTTGTAAATTGCAATTAATTCTTCCAATAATTATAAGAGCAGTAATGATAAATTCCAGCTATGGAGGGTGCATTTAGAAGCACACAATCCTCATTGTCTAATAACGTCTCACTCTAAAAGAAAGTGCATGGAAGCTTTCTCTGTCTCTCTCTCTGTTAAGAAAGTAGAGAGAGAAAAAGTGCATAATAGCTTAGACTGGCCGGTAAAAGCTTAGAGGCAAGTAAGAGAAAGGTACCAGCAATGCAAATAAAATATAACAGAAAAAGAACCATAATATGACAAAGAGAAGAGACTGAGAGTGTGAACTGGGTTATGGTTTTGGCCCACTCTTATGGAATTTTTAGTGGCTTAAGACAAGAAACCTGCAACTTTCGGCCTTGGATCTCATATACCCATGCTTATATAAATCCCCATGAGTTGCTTAAATACTGGCATCAAGCTTTGGAGTTTGAGTATCTCTTCTAGGCCATTTGGGTACCTTGGTTTTTGGGGTCTAAAACTGATCTTCTTGTACCGTGTGCTGGAAAAAAAATAAAATTCAATTCTTGGAAGCTTTGAAGTTGGTTTCTAGTTTCTGCTATTGAGCTTCAGTTATCTTTGTTAAGAATTTTAGATATCTGAGTACTCTGTTTTCTGAGGTCTATTGGTGTTTGTTTAATTAGTGTAACTGTAACAGAAGTGCTCCCATATTTTGAAAATTTTGATTGTGATTTGTGCGGATGCTCAGCTTTAAAAGATTCTGTTTTTGAGATTTAGAAACTGTTTTTGTTGTTTGGGAAGATTGAATTCCTTGAGAAATCACTCTGTGCTGCAAAAAGATTCCAAGATTGGAATATTTGGTTGAAGTTAGCAGAACTTCTTTTGGTGCAAAGAACAGGGTTTACTATTTTTGGCAACTCTTAAACTCCTTGGGGGCAAACAATGTATTATATAAAGTATGCTTTTCTAGAAATCATGAATTGGTATTGGGTCTTCATGTTGTTAAGAGCTTCCCATTTTGGAAATATCAAAAATTTGCAATGGGAGCTGTGGGTCACCAAAATTTTCTAAAATTTGGGTGAACACTTGCAAATGTAAAATTGTTTATAGTGGTGGGTCTTTGTTGAAGAGAATTTTATTTTATTTTTTGGGATTTGATTTATTTTTTTGAGGGGTTTTTCAAGAATGGGCCCTATGTCATTGCCTCCTGGTTTTAGGTTTCACCCCACTGATGAGGAATTGGTGGGTTATTACTTGAAGAGGAAAATTGAGGGGCTCAAGATTGAGCTTGAAGTTATCCCTGAGATTGACTTGTACAAGTTTGATCCTTGGGAGCTACCAGGTAGGTCCTCTCTCTCTCTCTCTCTCTCTCTCTCTCTCTCTGGCTGACTGATGAATTATGAAGTATTTCTCATGCAGTAATCTTTTATAATACCTGCTCATTGCAAGATATTTTTGAATTTTACAGTTTTAGAAACCATTACATGTACTTAAAAACAGAGTGAAATTCAGAGTTTTTAGTAGTAGCAAAATACTAGTTTTTTTTTCCAAAGCACTGCAGTTTCTTGGGGATTCTCTGTAATAGATTTTAATCTATCTTCCTCTTGTGATGTTATGAACACTTTCTTATGAAATTTCAGACAAGTCTTTCCTTCCAAAGAGAGATATGGAGTGGTTTTTCTTCTGTCCTCGCGATAGGAAATACCCGAATGGCTCTCGAACAAACAGGGCCACTTCAGCTGGGTATTGGAAAGCTACAGGTAAAGATCGAAAGATCACTATGTGCCATTCTTCAGTGACTGGGTTCAAAAAGACCCTTGTCTTCTATAGAGGGAGAGCTCCTGCAGGAGATAGGACTGATTGGATCATGCACGAGTATCGCCTTTCTGAAGATTTGGCTCGAGGTGCTTCTTCTGTTCAGGTACTCTCTCTCTCTCTCTCACACACACACACAAAAGGGGGGAAAAACTTCATGTTTTATGATTTAATCTTCATTCAACTTCATTGGAAGTTATGGAATCTTTTGTTGATATATTCACAACTTTGTGTCTGATATATTTTTTTTGGGATATAGAGTGGCTAGTGAATACCTAAGTGCATCCTATCTCTTGCATTATTTGGGTCTTGGGATATTGAATGCAAGTTATTTTTAATCGCCTGGTTCACATCCGTGCTCTCTGGGGAGAAACATTTATTTGTATTGCTTCTTCCTTAGTATAACTTACCCTTCTACTGAGAAAATAAAAATCCGTATTTAATTTCAAAAACTGTTTGATTGCACAATTTGCAGAAGAGATAAACTAAAGAATCAGCTTAAAAAAGAGACAGAAAGAGGGAGAGGGAGAGAGTAGGATGTGGATGGGGGAGGGGGAGGGGGTAATCATATAAAACGATTAAACTACCAAATTGTTTGATTGAATATGGTATTAAACAGGGGATGGTTGGTTTCTGTTAGTTTCAGGATGCTTTTGCGTTATGTCGGGTAATTAAAAGGCATGATCAGGGGCAAAAGGGTCCTAATCACCAAGATGAGCCCAAAACAAAGAGGACTGCCATTCCCCCTCTCACTCTTGATGTTAATAAACCCCTTATGGAGAAGCCACTTCAAGAGTGTCGACAAGGAAGAGGCCGCATCGTTAAAAATCCCCGGAAGACTATTAAGAATCACATTTTGCTTCAACCAGATAATCCTTCTGACATATCACAGGTCTATAGCGTGTGTGTGTGTGTGTGAGAGAGAGAGAGAGATGCGACTGTTGAAGCTCTGTTCTCAGTGGCTTATTACTTGGTGTCATGGCAGAGTGGATATGCTGAGTCATCTCGAATTGGGTCGATGAAGGAAATGCATTCAGGTGATGTCATGGAGTTGCCTAGTGGTTTTCCCTCCCCAAACATCTCAGATGAAAATGAAATAACTAAAAACGATCCAGCTGATCATTTTGAAGATATGGACTGTTTGTCACTCTATTTCAAGCCTACTCTTGGTTTTGGAATGTGTGGAGATGAAGATATGGGGTTTCAAAGCCACGAACTCGAAGACAACATTCCTTTTAGCACTGGTATTTCAGGTTGGCCCTCAAATCTTATTTTGTATGTGTGTGTGTGTGTGAGAGAGAGAGAAGGGGGCAGGGGATACTTTGGTTTAACAGAGTAACCACTGCTCTTTAGGGAGATTAAAAGTTTGAGCTTTCTTATGAGTAGATGGCTATTTTACAGAACTTTTAAAACAATCTGTTTAATGCAGGTTTCGAATTTCGAAACTCCATACTATCCCCCATTTGTAGACAAGCCAGTGGAGATGGAAGCACTGGTGAGCTTAGCAGTTTATGGCAGTTAGAGGATAGTCAAGTCATTGTGATATGAGAGAGAACTTCACACCAAGTTCTTAATGCTGTCATGGGTAGTGGCCTTTTTGGTGTTTAGAAGTTATATACCACCTTTTAACCGTTGTGCTTGGAGAAGAAGAAGAAAAATTCTCAACCTTTTAAAGAGTCATATGTAATATTTGCTATTGCATTAAATAAATACAAGTCTCCTGGTGGAGGTAGATCTATATTACTTGTTATATGGCCCTAGCGGATTGTAAAACTCTTGGAAGTATCGATGGGTACTTCTGCATGTTGTAATCATATTGCTCGAATTTTATATGAGCACTATTAATGGGGGTCTTCCTGTTCTTGCATATTGAACCATGACATCCTTTGATATCTCTGTCTCTCCCCCTCCAATGTCAAAAAGATTGATGTTGCCTCGCTTTCATGCATTTACATGGATATAACTTTTTATTATTCGATGAATAAGTTGGGTTGCGAACCTTTCTTTTTTTCTTTGAAATCTATCATCATTGCATTAACTCTCTCTCTCTCTCTCTCTCTCTCAGTCAGTTGGAAAGCTGGATACAGGCCTTGGATGTCTGAGTTTGATGGGCCTATAATGGTCATGAACTTACTTAGGATGATTCGATAAACTTATAAAGCAGTGGGAATAATTCAATGAAGCAGTGGGAATGGTTTTACAGTGGGGTTTATTCATTACAAAAATAAATGGGTGATTAGTTGAATCAAAGTGGGTGATGAATGTTTCAATAAAAATGCTTTGTCACATTATGTTATGGGTGCAGTGTGCATACGGATGCATCCGTAGGT